TTTCCCTTTCCAAGATCCAGTTACTGTGTGTTCTAAAGCCAATTTTACCTAATTTGTTGTTGAGGGGAAAACTATTATATCATTTCTACAAATGAGGAAATTGAAGAAACAGAGTAAACTTGTCCAAGGTCACTAGCTAGTAAGAAATTTAAACTCCTTCTTCTGACTCTAGAATCCATGTTTTTAACCACTATTCTACATTTTCTTGTTCTTGTCCTAATTTTGTTCCCAAATTAAATTTTGGGAACATTTTGCAGATTTCAGGTAAAGAAAAATTAGCATTTTGATTGAAACTGCCTTATATAATTACAACACTTTTATCACATAAACCAGGAGCTTGTAAATGTTTAATGAGCCAAGCTGTTTCACCCCTGCTAGCAAAGAGTACTGATCATATCTTGCCCTTATTTCAGGGACTGGTCAATGCACACTGGTTTAATGTATGGTCTCTTCAATTAATCTTCAATTAACCCCCTTCTTCACTGGCTGAACCCACAAATATAGCTGAAGTTCTTTGGTGTCAGCCATACCTCCCACACTCCTCGATACTCCTTCTCAAGGGTCCTGGCTTACAGAGCTGACTGTGGCATGGCATTAACTTGACCCCTGACTCATTTTGACTCATGTATCCCAAAACATATACTCAAAGTTTCCCTTCCCTGTTGTTGAATTCTGGCCCAAAGTGCAATCAACAACAAAATGGCTTTTGGTTTTCCAGAGAAGACCGTTAACAGTGAAATTTTTAAAACTCTGTACAGATTGCTTGGCTCTTGGTTCTACTCCCAAACTACTGATGTTACTTCCAATCTTAAACTGAGTCCTCCCACGATTCCTTCTTAGCCCATTTTTGGTCCCAAAATTCAGTCTCTAGTCCTCATCTCTCGCTAATAATCCTTTGAAACAAAGCTCAAGTATCCCCAGCCCTCACCTACACCCCCAAAACACAACTTGCAATTAGATGTGCTCCTGTTTGAGCTTTCTGGTGACCTGTATACACACAAATAGCATTGGGTTGGCCCAAAAGTTCATTGGGGTTTTTCCGTAACATCCTTAGGAAATATTTAGAATACAATGAGATGGCCTATAAGCTTAGAGTCTAGTGAGGGACACAGGCATTACTCTTTATACCCTGATGCAAAGTCAATTAAACAGCTTAGAAAAAACAAAGGCTCAGAAAACTACTGTAAAACCAAGCCAGAGGGTGGGGAAGCAGATTACGAAGGGACACACTCTTGAGCCCATAAAATAGAAGGCAGCCTAGTACAGTGAGAAAGCATGGATTAGGGGCCAGAAACCTAATTTCCAGCCCTACTCCTACCAGTCACCTCCTGTAGTCTTGGAAAAGTCAGTATATTTTTTCTTATGGATTTATTTATTTATTTTTGGCTGTGTTGAGTCTTCGTTGCTGTGTGTGGGCTCTCTCTAGTTGCGACTAGCAGGGGCTACTCTTCATTGCAGTGCACGGGCTTCTCATTGCAGTGGCTTCTCTTGTTGCAGAACATGGGCTCTAGGCACGCGGGCTCAGTAGTTGTGGCTAGTGGGCTCTAGAGCGCAGGCTCAGTAGTCGTGGCACAGCGGCTTACTTGCTCCATGGCATGTAGGATCTTCCCGGACCAGGGCTCGAACCCGTGTCCCCTGCATTGGCAGGCAGATTCTTAACCACTGTGCCACCAGGGAAGCCTGAAAAGTCACTATTTTTTTAGCCACAAAAATATTTACTGGGCTTCCCTGGTGGTGCAGTGGTTGAGAGTCCGTCTGCCGATGCAGGGGAAAATGGGTTCGTGCCCCGGTCCGGGAAGATCCCACATGCTGCGGAGCAGCTAGGCCCGTGAGCCATGGCCACTGAGCCTGCGCGTCCGGAGCCTGTGCTCTGCAACGGGAGAGGCCACAACAGTGAGAGGCCTGCGTACCGAGAGAGAAAAAAAAAAAACCTTACTATTTCAGAGATTTTTTAAAAAAACTTACTATTTCAACAGCCTTCTAATTGGTCTCTATGCCCCCCACCCACTCCTCTTAAACTATCATAAAAAAACAACTATGTCTAGGCGTATCAGCTCTGGAGCCAAGAATGCATGGGTTGAAATCCCAGCTTCATCATTTACAAGTTATGTAACTTTGTCATGTGTAAATGAGAATATTATCTACACTTCATTAAGTTGTTGTGGTATTAAACGATACTCCATGCTTAGAATACCCAGGCTCAACAAATGTTAAACGTCACCTTACCACTTTTAAAATTCTAGTAATTCTCTATTGCCTACAGAATCACACCCAAATTCCCAAGCAAAGTAACACAAAAGCCTTCAAATAAGACTCCAAATTAGTAATCCCAGCTCCCATTACATACTCCATTCTACTACCAGGCATTACATGGGAAACTAAGCAGAGAAGTTAAGAAACTTAACATACACCATACAACTACCTAGGCAGTTTGGCCGAGTTGGTGCTTCTTAACCACAACCACCTAATGCATATTCAACTCCCTATGTGGATCCAAAATCCCATTCCTGCAGGCCTGTGTCAAACATTTCTACAAGGTCAATATGTGATCAGACAAAACACCAAAAGTTAACAGGCAGTGTATGTCATCCTACCTTCAAAATATTAAAATATATATATTAACTGTGATTTTAAAACAGTTTGCATTGTTTGAACAAATGTATCTCAAAGAAATCTAACTGGCAAGAACAGACTTAGGCTCATAGTTTTAAGTCATGTATCATTTGACTATTGAAAAAAAAACTGGATTATGACAACCCATCTCGGCATGTTTTTCCAACAAAAATTAAAAGAATTTTAATATCCAAGTCCTTTTTTAGAAAGCAAGTTAATGTAATGCAAATAATAACGTCTAACTAATAGAATTAACAACAAACCAAAGTAATTTTGTTACATAAATTAACCCATTTATTATAGGCTAGCAACGTATCAAATGGTGGCGCTTCTACTGGTCCTTCAATTCCTTCAGTCTTCTGATGGCAGACTTTACTGTGACGGCAGAAGTGGTGCTGGAAAGAAAAACAAATTTGGTTCCAAAACTAGTTAACATGTAGAATGGCAAATGAGAAGTGTGCCTCATTTTTACATTACAATCTTAATGATGATGATAGCATCTATTAACAGCCAGGTCTTCAGAACCTGAAGAATTAGGCAATCTCATGCATCTGATTTCTCAGACAGCAGAGTGTGAAATTAACATGAAGGAATGACTAAGAGGCTGACTAAACTCATTAAAAGAGAATCGACAGAAGTCAGAAGAAACTAATAAATTATAAGATGGTACAGTGAGGTATCAAGAAAACAATGACTAAGGTAGTAAAGCAGATTACAGCACACTGTGGAAATGACAGAAGAATGTTTTGCCACAACACTCAGGAACTGCACCTGAAAAACATACACACACCCCCCGCCACGTGGTAGATGAATGCTAATTTAACCATCACAGCCAAGAGAGCAACCAACTCCCCACTTCCCCTCTCATCCTCAGACACTCCCACAGGTGCTTATATGTATATCCACAGTATCATTTCAACATTTTCCAATGTTTTACATTGCTTCCATTTTAAATTTAAATTTAACAAAAATCAACAACTTCAACTACACTAGCCAAGTCACTTAACTATATGTAAGTGACAAGTGTATTGGACAGCACAAGTCCACACACTAGCTAGAGGAAAAACACGTCAACCTTCAGGGTCAGCAATGAATTTCAAGGTTAGCGGCCTTCAAGAGTGGCCTGAGTTTCCAGAAACGGATAAACTCAAGAGTCCACACAATCAATAACCAGCACAGAGGTTTATCACAGCAATAAATATCACCTGGCCCTCGTCAGTCACAAAGCTGAAGAAGTCCAACCAATACTGTTTAGAGTGGCAAAGGTGTGGTGGCCCAGATGGCCTCAATACACATACAGTAATAAGCTAACTGACCTCTTAATTTTTATAAAAACAGCCTGCCACACCAGTGTTCAGCAGTCAGCCCAACTAACAAACCTGTTAAACAAACTAGCCCATCCAGCAACAAACCTGGAATTTCGACATGCTCCAAACACTTCCAAATACCATAAAGAAATGGACTCACTTGTAGGTCCACGCACCACCAGCTACCGTTTTCATGCAGGAACCACAGTGCCAAATGCCCACAGCTCGTCTCTTCATCTTGGTCTGAAAAAGACAATCAATTTTTCCTATGACCAAATTAAAGCCTTTTATATAATAAACATCCAGGAGTCTAAATAACACTAGAAAACTAAAGCTGGTATATTTTATGTGGCTATTCATTTTTTTCTAATTTCAAGTTCGCTGGTGCAAAATTTGCATTCACCGTGGTGACACTGCCAGGGATGTGGAAGACCCTTCCCTCCCCCCAAAACAAGCATTGCCATAACAGTACTTTTGCACACAATAAACATACAAATATTTAACAAAAATCTCTAGCAACATCAGTAGACAAAACTTACAGAACATGTCCCACAAAGCAGATTTGGTTTCGGCTGGGGCTGCCAAATAATTTTTCCCCCTTTAGCTCCCAAATAGTTTTCTTTAAATGAAAAGCGTTTGACAAAACCTGCAATTATAAACACTACTCTTATCTCATAACTGGTCACCAATGGTAGATGCAACTCTAACCGCTCAACAACTTAGAACCAGCAAACCATTTATAAACTTCCTTCAAGAGAGGGCTCACTTCAGAAGGAAACCTTCCCTCCCTCTCCCCCCCTGCCCCAGAGCCCATCTTACCTTGCCACAGAAGGAGCAAGTGTACTTGGCGTGCTGGCTGATTTCAATTTTCTTCACCATTTTCCTCAGGGAGGCACCATAACGGGTCCCGTATTTGCCCACGATTCCGACCTTCTTGGTGCGTTTCGCCTGTTAAGAATGAGATAAGAAAGAAACCAGCGATATTAGGACCCAGAAACGGAGACTTCGCCCCTCCACCAAGTCCCGGGGCCTCCATACGCCATTCTTCCACCCACCCAGCCCCCGCCTGTCACGTAGCTCCCCTCATTCCACCCCATCCCGGTAAAACCAGGACCGACGGTGGGCCCGGTGCTCCGAGGGCACTCAGTTAAGCCGGCCGGACGCGCCAGCCCCCCCGCCAAGCTCCTCCGCCCGTCCGCTCCAGGCCGCGTCCGAAAGGAGCGGCGAGGGCACGGAGGCCGGGGACACGGCACGGAGCGGGCGAGCAAGAGAGGTAGGTTAGGGCGAAGAAACAAACAAAAAAAAGGATAGATGCAAGCGGATACACATCTAGGCCTCAACCGAGAGCAACACTCACCATGACGCCGCAGCCTAGGTCCAAGCCCAGAGAGGAAATGGCCAGCTGCGCAGGCGCGGTGTTAGGCGGGCAAGCGGAAGTGGAGGGCTGGAGGCCCAGCTAGGAACTGAACTCTATGGTGCGGAGGTTTTTCTCATCCCGGGTGCTTCCCGGAGGGTGCGGTTGGTCGCTTCTGAGACAGGTTTACTTTTTCACAAGTTGTAGCGACAAACTGTGTAGCAGAAGCACTTTCACGCATCGACATTGTCTGACACATATCTCACGAAATCCTGCAAAGCAGGTACGATTTCCGTCATTTTTATGGACAAGATTCAGAATTTAAGTGACTTGCTCACTGGCGCTTGGCTTAGAGAAGGGCTTATATCTCACGATTCCAAATCTCACTGCTTTCTGCAGTATGCCTTCTAAAAGCGGCAGGCCCTGTGCAGGGGGCCGGCACAGAGGTGACTAAAGACCAAGGCTCCACTCATAAGTTACTGTCCAGCCAGAGGAAGCCATATGACCACATTAACAAGTTATGAAACCGATCAGAGCTCTGAAGGAAGATGGTTCCACCCACTCCTAAAACGGAAGAGCCTTGGGTTCCCTGAGGAAAGTCAGATCCGAAGGCTGGGGAGGAGTGAACAGTCACCATGTAAGTCTTTCAGCTTCTCCCTCCATCTCAGTTCTGATGGCCTACCTCCCGCTTCATTTCAGAATCCACTCCCACGGCCCCATTCCTCAGCTGTCAGGTCCCTGCCTGAAACCTTAAGCGCCAGCATCTCACTCTTGAACCACATCTATTATCTTTCCTTCCAGCTCCTTCATAAGGGTCAGCAGAGAAGAGCTAGGTTTCTGGTTACGGCCAGGAAGTGAAGGGTATGTTCAAATAAAGAGGCTGGGAACATGTAGAACATGCTCTTGAAAGTTTTGCTGCCTTTTCTCAGAAGATGGTTACGCCCGAGGAGAGGAAGCTCAGAGAATTTTGAAATAAAAGTGTAAGGGAGGATCCATGAAAGACCATGAGGGCCGAAAGGCATTGTGGGATTACTTGACCTTGTTTCCAGTCAGAAGTCAGGTTAAAAAACAGCTTCACGGGCTTTCCTGGTGGCGCAATGGTTGAGAGTCCGCCTGCCAATGCAGGGGACGCGGGTTCGTGCCCCGGTCCAGGAAGATCCCACATGCGGTGGAGCGGCTGGGCCCGTGAGCCATGGCCGCTGAGCCTGCGCGTCCGGAGCCTGTGCTCCACGATGGGAGAGGCCACAACAGTGAGAGGCCCGCGTACCGCAAAAAAAAAAAGAATAAGGGTGTAGAATCTCTCCGGGGGAATGAGACAGGCTGCGACTTGGGACCCTTTGCTGCCGCACTTGCACCTGGACACACCTCTCCTCCAGCAACAAAATACAAAGAAACTGTACGGGACTTAAAATAACTGCGTGCATGACCAGGTGGGGCAAATTCTGGACAAAAGATAATAAAGACCAATAAAGCCCAACTGCCATTTCTGAAGAGCCAGGAGCAAAAACTGGGTTAAGGGAGCAAAGGCAGGGTACTGAGCATGCCCCCTGCACTCAACACCACCAGAGGGGTGGGCAAAACACCTAAACCGTCCCTCGGCCCGACCCCACCCTCACCCCATATAAGGAACCTGCTCTCCCCACCCCTGCAGTTCCCGAGCAAGCAAGGAAACCTGTTGTTAGTTCTCACTCCTTGCTGCAGCAGGGGCCACAGTAAAACCTTACCTGACCAAAAAAAACACACACACACACACCTTGCAGACAGTTACATACTTCGAATTTCATACGATTACGATCTTTCAACCCTTCAAGATTTGAGTACAGGATGGGTAGAGTTGTTACCGACCAGGGTTCTTGGCCTCCTTAATCAATAGAAATTGATCAGAGGCCAGACAAGAAATTCAGGCAAGGCTTTATTGGGGCCCCTGCTGCAGCAGGGGGGATCGAGAAGAAACAACAGGTTCCCTTGCTTGCTTGCTCCCTGAGTGGGAGCCAGCTGGTTCCTCTTATGGGGTGCGGGTGGGGTGTGTCCAGGGGCCGGGCGGAGGGGTGGCTTAGAAGGTGTGTGCAGGCGCATGTGCAGTACTCTGCTTTTGCTCCTGGCTCTTCAAAAGTAGCAGCTGGGTTTTTTGGTCTCTTTGTATCTTTTGCACAGAATTTGCCCCAGCTGCGCATGCACGCAGTTATTTTTAGTACCACAAAGGTTCTTTGTATTTTGTTGTCCAGATGCAAGCACTGCAGCGAAGGGCCCCAGGTCCTAGCCTGTCTAACTGGGGCTCAAAGCTGCAGAAGTAACAATAATGCCAGCTGGCATGTTCTGGAAGGTACCATATGGTGGGCACTGTTCTGAGTATTTTACATGGATGTTCACATTTACTTTTCACTATGATCCTTTGAGAGAGGAAGAATCATTATCTTCATCATTAGGATAAAGAGAAGAGGTCTTATGTTATGGTAAGGAACATAGGTCTGGTTTCAAAGCAGGGCTCTGCTATTTACCCCTTGTGAGACCTCTGATAAGTTATTTTACTTTTCTCTGTGTCGGTTTCCTCAACTGTAAAATCTGAATAATTATAATACCTACCTCATGATGTTGTTGTAAAGAGCCAATGAATTAAACACATGACAAGCGTTTGCCACAGTGCCTGGAACATAGTAAATACTATACAGTTGTAACTGTTACTGTTATCATTTCAGATGGAGAGACTACCACTCAGAGAAGTTAAGTACTTTGTCCAAGGACACACAGCAGTGTGGTGGAACTAGAACTGAAATCCACATCTATCTGACCCCAAAGTAAGTTCTGTTAATTGTTGGCTTATACCACTCCAAGTCATAATATTTAGTGCACTGAACAAAATCATAGCAGAAGACGTTCTTAACTTGAAATCAGGTCTCTGGCACTTGGTCCAGGGCAGGCTCTCTTACTACCTTGTGGTATGATTTTGGGTTAGCCACGGTCCCTGCATGGCCTGGAGAACCACCTCCTGCCTCCCAGCACTTACCATCTTTACAGTGAGGGGCTAGACAAGATGACCTCTAGGGTCCCATCCAGTTCTTGTGTTCTGTGATTCCAGGAAGAGTTTCCAGACTTTGAGTGCTGTTGGGACAGAGGACTGACCGGGCAATTTGTGTTCTCACCGGCCTGTAGACTTTTTGTGTGGAACAAAAGCAGTTCTCTCTTTACCCTCCCTGTTCTGTTATGCCAGCTCTGGCTATGTAATTCCAGAGAAAAAGCAAAAAGTCTACTTTTCTGTGGTTGTGGGTAGTGGGAATATTTAAATTGAGTTTTGTTTTTATACATTTCTGCATTTTCTAATTATCTTTTATAATGAGTATGTATTTATAATTGGAAAAAAAAAATTTAAAGTCCATTAGCAATGAGTACACCTAGCTCTCATCATGGTTTCTAATATCATTCTGTTACACGATGAAAGGAACCAGGGCTCCCTGGAGAAATGACTGATTCTAGGACTGGGGCAGAACATGTACAAGATGAGCCTGGAACATCTTGTAGTGCCAGAAAGTAAAGGAGTGCTCAAAACACAAACAGCAGAAAAACCCTGCTGTGATGGAGCTATGTCAAAGAGCCATGGGAACCAATTGAAAGAACTCCCAATGGATAAGTCTGGAAATTTTTGAGCAAAAAATAAAAGTTTTATTGATTTTTAACCCAAAGTAGAAAATAAATGTCCATGAGTTCATGCTGATATAAGTAAATGGTTGAATAAATAAATTAAAAAATGGGGGAGAATCTCTCTTGCAGAAGAATTCTAGATAATTTTTGTGGATTCTGTGCCCTCTAGGAGAGGGGATATAACTCCTCACTCCTTAAGTGTGGGCTGTGCAGAGTAACTTCTTCCAAAGAGCACAAAAAAGGGGAAAAAAAGAGTAACTTTAGAGTGGAGAAACCTGCCAAACAGGTCAAGGTCAATATCAAACAGTCGTAAATCATGGAGAGAGTATGTCCCTCTGATAGATGTGGTGACAATGGCACTTTATTTTTGTGATCCTCCTCCCCCAAACCCATAACCCCAGTCTAGTCACGAAAAAAAAAATCAGACAAATTCCAATAGTGGGGTGTCCTACAAAATACTTGACCGGCACTCCCCCAAACTGTTAAGATCATAAAAAGCAAGAGAGTCTGCGAAACTGTCACAGCCAAGGGGAGCTTAAGGCGACATGATGGCTAAATGTAAAAATGAGATCCTGGAACAGAAGAAGACGTTAGGTAAAAACTAAGGCGCTCTGAATAAACTATACATTTAAGTTAATAATAATGTATCAATATTGGTTCATTGATTATAATGAATGTGCCATACTAATGTAGGATGTTAATAACAGGGGGAACTGGGTGAGAAAGTATATGGGAACTGTCTGTACTATCTCTTCAATTTCTTTATAAATCTAAAACTTTTCTAAAAATAAAGTCTATTTGAAAAACAACAAGCCAAGGTCACCACAAGTCAACTCCCTGAAGACAGGGCCTCAGTTGTCCATCTCTGCATCCCAGGACTGAGCACAGAGCCTGGCACATCAGTGGTAATGGATATGTATTGAGTGGGGAAGTGTTACCTTGGATGGTATAATGGTGATGATGGGTTTTAAGGGTTTTATTTATCTGGGCTTCTCTGCCTCACAAGGTCAATCCACTTATGTTAGAACTAAAGAAAGGCTTTAGAGATAACATAGCTCCAACTGGAAACTGAAGCCCAGTGAGGTCAAATGACTTGCCCAAGGTCATACAGCCAGTAAATGACTTCCAGACTAGTGCTCTTTCTACTATATCACAAGATTCAAGCTGTTTCCTCAGCTGCAAAATGAGTATACCATAACTTCTAAGGTTCTTGGGAAGATTAAATAATTTCTATGAGGTACCTAGTGGGCATTTCTAAATGATGGCTATTATTGTTGAGATGGTGATGATGATACATGATTTCAATGTCTCTTGATGCCTTTTCAATCCTATTTTCTGTTCTGCCACACTCAGGGAACTTCAACATATCTGCTTTCTACTTCTTAAAAATATGAGCATCTCTTGTCTCCTTAATTTCTTTAGCTTGAGCGCAATGAGACTAT